GAGCACCAATCATATTTCGAGATTTTTTTGCAGATTATTCTAGAATTGATCTGCAAAATTTCAAATCTCTCCGACTGTAATAACGATAATAAATCGAAATTTTTCAATAGCCATTGATAGCCAATAAGATCATTAGTCATCATTAGCCATTCATCAATCATGTGACTCCTCGCACGACTCAAATCACAGTCTTTCGTCATAATGCACACTCAATAATGGCTTCAAAAGACGCGAAAGACACAATCACAGCTGAAGAGTTTCTCGAGCAACAAAGAAAACTTGAAAAGGAGGCTGCAGAAGTGCTACCGTGGAACTTCGATCACTGCACGTACTCTAGAGGTTACTTGCGCCAACCAGTATATGCCTGTAAGACTTGCAAACCGAAGCCAGGATATGGCCCTGGTGGCGTCTGTTACTCGTGTTCAATTTCCTGCCATACAGGTATTTTTTTCTAACAATTTCGGCTGTTAATAGCTGTATAATTACTTTGCTTATTCTATTCTTATTTCCAGATCACGTTTTGGTCGAACTGTTTAACAAGAGGAGCTTTCGCTGCGATTGTGGAACAGCTCGACTTGGTGAAAAGCCTTGTGAACTCGAGCCAAAGGAAAGAGATGTTGTAAATACATTAAATCAGTATAATCACAACTATGAAGGCCGTTTTTGTTGGTTGGTATTGTCGCGAGCTTATGAAATATGGATTATGGCTAAACAAAGGTTACAGTTTACATTGCGCAATTATGTCTTTCAAGGTGTGATGTCGAATATGATCCGGAGAAGGAAGAGTCGAATATGTATCAGGTATGAGATGATGCTGTGGTTTTCGATGAATCAAGATCGTCGAGAATTCACGGTATTTTAAGTGCTGTCTGTGCGAGGATTGGTATCATGAAAACTGTATGAACGGCGGAAAACAGGGAGATCAGGAATTTACGGTATGAATAATTATAATATTTTGTATAGATATTTCTGATTTTGAATACTCAATTTCCAATACGATTAACTTAATTGCAGCTTCCTGAGTGCGAGCTTTTCGAAGAGTACGTTTGTCGAAGTTGTACAGAAAGATATCCCTTCCTTAAATTATACTGTGATTCTCATTTATGTTTTGCTCGGATGTCAAAGAAAGTGTCTTTGAAATCAACTTTGGGCGATCGCAGTATCGATTCTAAGGCTGATTCCATACTGTCTGATGAATCGAGAATCAGAACAGATTCTGACAATAATCGATCACAATCTGCAGAATCTAGCAAGAGGAAAGTCGTGGATGACCAAAAGTTTACACCACTAAAGAAGACAAAATCTCTATCGGGACCTGCTTGTCGGCTAGAAAAGTTTGCTTCTATTAATGTTGATGAAAACTATTTCGATTTATTCTGTGTGTCAGGATGGCGTGACGACCTATGTCGATGCGCTAAGGTGTGTTTATTTGATATATAAAATAATGTAAGTTTCGATTCGTTCTTCGGGATTAATTCTTGCATACTTAGTGCAAAGAACTTTACAAAAGACATAAGTTGGAATTTCTATTGGAAGAGGAAGAAACATATGAACCGCCAAAAGATGAGGATAAAGGTAAATTATTCGCTAGCACTGACTCTAGCTGATTGGCTTTTGACTCACTAATTTTATTCCAGACTCTTCGTTGTTTGAAAATGGCGTGAAACTGTTGACACAAATGGACAGAGTTACAGCCATAGAAGGTTGGTGTAAGATCTTGTTTATAAGAGTACGATTGCGTAGATTAACATGTCTTATCTTTCGTTACAGGTTTAATCGCGTATAACAAAATGAGGTTTAGTTGAATACTTTTTACTTTTAGCAGTAGAGCGTTATGAAGTTAGTGATACGATGTGTTATCTTCCACAGAGATGAAATACGAGAATTCTTGAAGACGTTTGCTGATTCTGGTAGAACTGTCACGGAACACGACATTCGTGCGTTTTTTGAGGTATGAATTTATGTGGGTGTCGACTTTTGCTGAGTCTGCTTTCATTAGCTAATTATGCATTATCTAGTCTAAGCTTGCAGACCACAAGTCATCAAGGAACAATACGTCGTTTTAATTGCCCATAGGATGCATCTTTGAACATAATTAATGAAGAAATAAATTCGTAGACTATTATTGTAAATAAAGAATAGGATCAATCTTCTGGATGGATTTTAATACTCTATACTAGTCTTGCTAAGCACGATTACCAATTCCCATGTATGCATACGTACGGCTCTATCAAGCAACGCGTAAATGAATATCGGCGCTCCATTCGATTGCACTTGTAACTTTTCTCCCTCTTATATTCTGTCTGTTTCCACACGCGCAACAATTTTTAAAGTATACGATTCGTTGTATAATTATTTTCATACTAATCTCGGCTTTGTGTTTCAGCCGTTGTTGGAATGAGTAGTGTGACTATGTTAACGGCGGGTATGATAACTTCCATATATCGCTTTAACCGCGCAAGATTCGAGTACAATTTCACATTCGACGTCCTGATCCCATTTTTCTTCTCTTGTTTTTCCGCACCGTTAATACTTTCTTACTTTTTTCACGGTGGGTAGCCACAATCTCTGACGAGACCTTTGCATGATCATTCCGGTAAGGTCTGCGTCTGAAGTTGACTCCTGATCCGGTGTCACTGAGTTCATTCATAGTTTGAAAACTCTTCGAATCAGACTTTTTTTTGCTGTTGTTTTTGTTTCCAGCTGGATACCCTTGCGTACAAATAATTCCCTCTTGATGGTCGTGGAGATATCATGCTTTTCTTCAGGAAAGTATTTCGAAATTCGTAGTTTGGTTTCTGACTCTAATGTCTTTTCCTTGCTCGGACCAACGATGTAATAATACATATGACATTCCAGGCTTTTTTGTTGTTTAAAAACATTCAACGAGTATTAATTTATTATCGGTCATACTGACGTCACAGTGACTAAACGTAATAATTAGCTCTGACTAAAAGAGCTTACAATCACCCCCGATCACAAGTAGTTCTCATGGATAGCACTCACCTTGCCTCTATGTCCGGTCTCTCAACTGCTTCTCGGATATTCTCTTACTATCCCCTGTCTATTTCTTCTGTTTCTCAATCAAATGGTCCCTCAACAAGGTCTTACCATTCCAACAGTCACAATTCTTCCAGCTTACAATCTAACTTATCAAATAAAAATAAATACTCAAAATTACAAGGCCCTCGGCTACCGAGTTATTTAGCTGACACCACCTTTGCAGATCTTTATGCAGCTTCTAGTTCAGAATCTTATACAAGGAACGGTAGTGTTCCTGACTCCGATCAGGCGTCTTTTGCCCTGCCGACCGCGTGGAACATAGACGATAAATCTACTAATTTAGAATTATCCGAAGACAGGCTAAGAGTAAATTATACAGGTGATAAAAGACTCTCCAAGTTTTCAATTCACACCTTTGGGACGGTGATCGTTTGGACGGAAGAATGATTAAACTGTCACTACATCAACATCGTGATGTTTGGATAAAAAACCGCGTGAATGATTTAACTAATAATCTTTGGCTGTCGTCCATGTACAGGTGTAGGCAAAAATGATACTGATGCTGCCGCAATACGAGCAAATTATCCAATGCCACCGCAATGCGGTTTATTCTACTTTGAGGTTGATATTATAAGTAAGGGGAAGGAGGGGTAGGTAACATTTTCTAAGCCATAAGCTTATTTGAAGCAGCTCTATCCTGATGGATTAACATGTCTCTTCACTTGTGATAGTTTTATTGGGATTGGGTTTTGCGGGAAAAGTGTTCAGCTAAACCGACTGCCAGGTATTTCTGAGAATTGTGCTTGTTTAAGATAGATAACGTTGTCATTCAACAGCTTATCAACTTTGTATTTCGTGAGGATAGGTTGGGAAAATATGTCGTGGGGATACCACGGCGATGATGGACATCTGTTTTGTTGTTCAGGGACAGGGAAGCCGTACGGACCACAGTTTACGACTGGTGACGTTATTGGCTGCTGTGTAAACTTCAGAGACGGGACGGCATTTTATACAAAGAATGGCGCCATTCTGGGTGTGTTGCTTGATCACTCTTTTTGCAGTTTTATCTTATCTATTACTTATGTCATCCATATGTTTTAAGGAACTGCATTCAGAGATTTAAAGGGTGTATTATATCCGTCAATTGGCTTACGGACTCCTAATGAATCTGTCGAAGTAAATTTTGGACATAAAGAATTTAAATTCGCAATTGACCATTACATGAAGGTTGGTTCAAGCATTGTTACGGTTGTATTTCCGTCCAGAATGCATTGTTCTGACAAGTATTATTACGGCAAAGGAGCAAAAGGCCTTACAATGGCAAATCATTAACGCGACGCCGATGCCTCCTATTTCATCACCCGTAATGTCGACACCCGTATTGCGAGCATCTTCAGAAGCTAACCTTACCACAACGGTTCATCAACTCATATTTTCCTATCTGGTGCATCATGGTTTCAGTGAGACAGCAAAAGCCTTCTACAAAGATGCTGTCCACTTTCTCAATATTGATAGTGATTTAATGGAGGATATTGAATATGAACAATCAGCACCAGGGACAGAAATTGATATGTTAAATAGACAGCGTAAGAAGTCTTATTGATAACTTCATCTATAACCTTATTGAAGAAGCAAGGGCACTAAAGCTTGTCGCCTACTTTTCTAGGCATTCGAAATGCCGTCCTCAGGGGTGACATAGATCAAGCAATAAAGTTAACAAGTGCTTTGTTCCCATCGGTTTTGCCAGCAAACGACGATATTCATTTTCGACTACGCTGTCGTGAATTTATAGAAATGATGGGCCGCTGTTCAGGAACCCGCGCAGCAGCCACTGAGGATGAGGATGATAATTTGGTTAAAGTAGAAAAACACGGCATGATAGGACGCCCTCAGATGGCAGTTGGCGATGGCGTAACGGGACAAGAAACTGATAATGGCGACAAAGATGATGAAGAAGACGAGGAATATGAAGATGCCATGGATGTGGATGACTTCACAGTCTCACACAGTGACTCTGCATCATATAGTGAGGACGAAGATGCTCATATAACCCCTATAAGAAAGAAGAAAAATTCGATAAAACGAAAAAAGATTAGTTATGATGCAGATGGTTTAGACAGCCACATCGAGTCAGCAATGAGATTTGGTCAAAAATTGCAGCAAGATTATCAAGACGATACTCGTGAAGAGATAAAGAGTGCTTTAGAGGTTGGATATCCTCGTCGTTGATATTTAAACTGTTACAGTATGATTGCCTTATACAGCGTGTTCTTCTTTACAGGAAGCTTTCTCATTGCTGGCGTATTCTGACCCAGCGAACAGTGTTGTTGGTTATTTGCTACACCCTTCGGGGAGGGAACCAGTAGCAAATGCGCTAAATAGTGCGATTCTCGGTAAGTATGTGAATGAAGGATGTATGTCAATTCACGATTGTGTCGGCTAAGCCCATGTATATAAATTCTTTAGCGTCTCAAGGTAAACCCGCGATACCCCAACTGGAAAGGATTTTTCGCCAGACTTCTGTCGCAGTTAAAGAGCTTTCACGGTGCGGAGTTGGTACTACTGCCTTCGTGAATGTCAATAACGATTGCCTGGCGCGAAAAAACAATTAAGGACAATCACATCGAGTCGTCAATACGTATTATTAGTCTGAAATAGATGTACATTTACAAGCACAAGATAAACTTCTTCTTTTTTTTGTTTCTATAATTAAGATTTGAAAATTGAATGTTAATTAGGTTGCCAAGAGTGTACATTGTAAACTATTATATGCGCGAATAAAGATTGTATCTACACCTTATAACGTCAGATGTCATTTTCGTCGAGCAGACTCCTCGGTGGTTCGATTCTGATGCGCAAAACACGCTGATTAGGGAAGAAATGCTCCGTATATATACGAAACGCATAAAAACAGTGTAAGTTCTGATGTGAAGCAGTTTAAAGCATAGAACAAATAATAAAAAAAGTTTCGAGTCTTAGGCAACAGTTTTCTACGCGATAATAACGAAATAGAAAGTGAACTGGGCCAGTCAGAATATATATATAAATATATATCGTTTGCGCCCGATCAACCCCCCATATTAATAGTTAGGGTTTTCGGTTCGGTTGTGTGCTAGTGTTGCTTAATAGGCCGTAACATAACTTTCATTGTATTGTGCGTAATAAGAATAAATTTACGTATAACCTGTTTAATAGGAATACATTCGTAGATGATGAAACAGTATAATAATCCTGATTAGGTTAATATAGTCATCGCTCTCTGAGTATTAAATAGCGCAAGGGGCAATTTTTATTGGTTAAATTTGTAAAAATAGCAACTTCATATTTTTCATAACATTATCAACGCATTTCTTTATTATATGATTTGGGATACACAGTGAACCTGGATATAACGAAAACCTGGATATAGCGATGCTTTTTTTATGTCCCAAATTCTGTCTAGTAAAATTTCCTGGATATAACGAATCCCTCGATATAACGAAGAAAAGTGTCTGCACGGTCTCCTTCGTTATATCCGGTTTCACTGTGTATATCTGAAGGAGACAATAGAGGAAATCTGTCCCGTGGGAATCGAATATTAAATCATCCTCCATCACTATCATAGTATCCGATCAAAGTACCACCCCGTGTATAGTACCCATGGTATAACGTGGTTTAGTCCATGAAATACGGTATGATACAATATGATCATAGCTCTAGCATTCCATGGGCTTCATCAAAATGGTGGTATACTTTCTAAAGAAGTTAGCAATAATCCCTCGTACAATATTTAGTCAGACTGTACAACAAATTGCACAATTATATTGCAGATCAAAAAAAATCGAAACGGTCATAACACTAATGGTTGTATTTTACGCATCTTAATGTTACGATTAAAATTAGCCAATCCACATCGAACAATGCTTTTAAGTCCAAATCTATCCACAAAAAGCTATAAATAAGGTCTGTTTCTTCTTTTTATGTTTGTATAATGATTGGTCAAATCCATTAAATAATAACGATCTTAATAACGAGATCGGTGATTCCAGTCGTAACACGCCGAAATAATAATAATAATAATAATAATAATAATAATAATAATAATAATAATGATACGGATATTAATATTTACTTCTTTCTCACCAACAAATCTTGCTGTAACAAAAAGAGCGTAATTTTGCAGTTCCCGATCCTCATCCCACACACGTTTTATTAATAAGCGTAAACAATAAAAGGTTGTGTTGTGCAAAAAATTCTAATGGCTTTTAGAAATCTATATATTTTTGTAAAGAATAACACTTGCCTCAATTCTCACGGATTTTTGATTGGTTGATACAGTTTTGCCGTCCGATCGGGTTATTATGTTCATCAAATTTTATACGTAAAATTTATCATAGTGACGGAATCAAACAATACATATAAACTATAATCCCTAAATGCACACACGTGATTGATATTCATATTCTCCCAATAAAAGTTGCATGTATGACAGCATTGAGATTTATTGCGAACAGGCCTAATGTGTATAATGTCAAAAAGTTGAACGGGAAAGAAGACAGCCAATATGCTTATAATAAAAATTTTGTTTTGAAATTTATTTTGGGTTTTATTTAGGTATGACAAAAGCCTTGATTACAATACAATGTTGGTAAGCCTGGACATTGGTAAACGCGAATTATCTTTCGTTTTCGTTACCGGTTAAAGAATTCGCTAGGTTTTTGGTAATAGTTTGTCACGAATACATGTGGAGGTGACGAATTTCGTGGATCAACTTTGAGGATTCTCCTGTCGAAGACCAAAACCTTAGTTTTAATACCCGACATATCGTCAGACCTCTTGCCAATAAACTCAACTATAATAGTATCACCGTGTCTTGTACAATTGGCAGGCTGGTGCAAAGGTAAACGTGTATGCCAAAAGACCGAAGGAGATTTTTGCCAGGAGTGGTTTTATTTTGTTTCCAACATTAGAAGAAGTGACGCTTACATCGGAAAAATAATTTCTGCTCGGAACACTTTTGCCTAGCTAAAAATTTCTTTTTTGTAGTCCTGACCTTAATATTACGGGATATCGTTAAAGCAACGCTGAAAAACTAACCGCCATTGTGAGCTAATCACGGTGAACGAATTAATTTACATCTCTCCGGCTTTTAAACGAAGTATCAATAATTAAAATCCGGATTTATATAACAGCCAAATACAACATATTTTTGCCGAATTGTTCTTTATTAAAAAAAACTAAAACGGAGAAACTAAACCAGGGCAACAAGCAGATGAAAAAAATCCGAATTCTGCTTTTTTCAAACTGAAACTAGCCAAGAACCTTGTCCCCATTTTGAGAAAACACATGACAATTAGGAGAATACTACAGTCAAGACTGGATAGATATGTTCTGGACCAAATCAAAAATTTCAACTTGGGCCAGCCCATATCCAAATGTTACACTGAGTATTCAATGTGATGTGCGATTTTGTCACCCAGCCAATACCATCAATCGATACGATTGTTATGTTTATTAATATTAATAATAAAAGTAAAAACGTTACTCTCTGTTTATACATTTTGAGTCACATCCGACCCTTGATCTCCTACAAGGACATCGATTAGTATAGTATTACAGTTAGATTTACAGCAACATACTATGAGCCTTGTACTGTCGCTGAACTTTGGAGTTTTGCCGCTTGGGTGAGCGATACTCAGTTATTCGGTGGTACTAATACCCTCCATTTCGCATACTTGATAACAGTGTCATGAGCACACCCAAGACGGTACAAGCTACAAGCCTCTGTATAAACTCTAGGACCTTACAGGGGAGTGATACATAACAATTGATGTTATGGGCCGGCCCAAGTTGAAATTTTGATTTGGTCCAGAACAGATATCTCTATATAACGATAACTGACAACATTCTATTATATAAAACCTCGCCCTCGTTATTACATATAACGATGCGTATTCGATGTACCAGCTTCGGGTTTGCCATTATTTCCGTGCTCTGCTCAGCGCAAATAGGTAAATTTCTCACTTGCACATTCCATTAAATCTGTGCGTGTACTAATAGACAAAAAGGCTCTTTTCCTGAAACGGTACTAAAAAAATTTTTAGTGCCTTTCAGGAAAAGAGCCTTTTTTGTCTATTAGTACACACAGGTCTGCTTACACACAAGAGATATGGAGTAAATTGGAGAAACTAACCAAAGCTACCGACCAATTTACCGAACAACTTTCCGAAGCAATAGCTAAGAAAAAGCAGGTTCTGCCGTTGAACTATATTCGCAACAGACTTTATTGTTGTTATCTCTATGATCATTTTTTAACTTCTCTTTTTAATAATTTGCTCGCAATTTATTACTTTTTTAGCCACGACGCCGTAGTTTGCGCTTGTATTGAGCTACATTCCTGCAAAATTTCAACTTAGATTAATGTGTAAACGGTCGTTTCTTTTTGTAAATACAATGAATGACAACATCTGGCAAATTTCAATCACTCCGTTTTAGGAAGTGCACTGTGTTTGATTGTATACACTGTCCTCCCTTTCAATATAACACGAATTCGTCGTATACGCCCTTCTTCACAAATTGCATACCAAATCGTTCCGGATACTTTCAATGTGTGCAACTGTAGACTGTAGAAGAAAATTTTGGTAAAAAATTAGATGACAAGAATTCTACCTCGATTCGCAATAATGTCGTCACAAGTTTCTCAATCATGAGTAGCTGTCCGTTTGACTGTGGCAGCTTGATTTTTTTCAGTAGGCCTAATCGCCACAAACCTTTGGCCCTCCAATCCATTGCATAGACATTGTAATAAAAGCCTAACATCAGAGAATGTAGAAGCCAATCAATGCTTACCATACGAATGAACTCCTAATGTATAGATTCTCTTAAAATCTTGACAATTGACACCATTGCATTCAATCGCTTCTTTCAACATAACATCGCGCATAGCGACCATTAGGTCAACCTTATCATCCCATTTCTTTGCTTTGCACGCCTCGGGCAAACCTCCTGATCTGTCCAACAATGGTTTCAAACCCATCAGCGTAACTCTGAAGTCACACTTTTGACCGATGAGAGACTTATCAGTTGGTTCTTCCTCTACAAGTATGAAATGTAAATTAGAAGTAATCACAAACTTATCAAAATACAGAACAGAAAGAACCTGTAGTACGCACTCGTCATATACCAGCTTTTGCTGATAAGTCAGAATACCTTTTGTCATCATGTTCATGAATCGCTGCAGAAGACAGCCTCCGAGGTTGTGCTGCCAGTCTCTCCAGGTTATACACACTTCACAGATGGGGTGGATTATATTAACACCACATTAAAAAAAAGGAAGAGCATTATAGTTCAATTATCTCACTATGTTTGGATAAGTCGTCGTATAACATTAGTCTTTGGAAAACCCTCGATTATGCATTTTTCAATTTCAGTAACCAAATCGTTTGGCTTCTTTCCAAGACCTACACAAAATCAGATGTAAATAAACATCAAGTTGTGTAATGTAAACAAAAATTTTCTGATTGTTTACCTTTTCAATGTTATCAAGCAGATTGTACAGTAGCTTTTCCTCCTGCTCGTTAATGTCATGGAATGTTACTGTTTTACTGAAACCGGATATCATCTCACACCATTCCTCATCTGTAAAGAATTCCTTGACTTCAGTCAGTGTCCTGACCGGACAGATCTAATATACCAAAAAAAGTGGGACTATCAAGGAAATAATGCGCAATATGAATATATTAAGGAGTGAGATAGTATTGTCCTTATGAATCACAAGACACCAACTAGAGAAAAGCCTTAGTTTTTGGGATTTTTGCTCTGGACTCCTTCAGAATTCGAGAAACGTTCTTGCCAGTTGAAAGTATCCATTCATCAAATTGGTCACCACCATCAACACCTGTTGGTTCAACTTCGAATTGTTCCGTGATTTCATTCTAGTCAAACCATAAAAAGCGATCAGAATAAGCTGGAACATGTATGACTGCTAGGTTCTAAACTTGCCTGATTGTCATTTTCGTAGGATGAATGTTCATCACACTGTAAATATAGAATTCAGAATTTTTCAATAAAAAAGTAATACTGGTGATGTAATGTTAAAATGCATGCGTTCTTTATAAAAACGCTCCTATAAAAAGAAATCGAAATGTTTCAGAAAGTACTTTTATTATAGATAAAATTTTCAATATGAAATTATATCCCCATTATTTTCCAAAACAAGCTCGCATTTTTTTTATTGATAAAACAAAATCGTTCACTGTTTCAATTAAAATCGGGACATCTCATTCTTCAACCATAAACTTCTTCAACTTATTAATATCCTTTGACATTCGTTTTTCAACATTGTTTTGCCACATGTTTTCTATGAAATTAAGGTCTGGGCTATTGGATGGGCAATCAATAACCGAATCCCATTCTCGACAATGAAATCCTTGGCAACACGCGAGGTGTGCTTGGATCATTATCTTGTTGCAA